TTCCGTTTTCTCTCTCTCTCTCTCTCTCTCTCTCCCCCTCCCCTCCTTCTCACGCATACACATACATGTATATAATAGACATATACACTCACGCTCACATTCTTTTTTTCTCTCAATCATCTCACTTTCCTTTTTCTCTTTTGTTCGTGTTTGTTACGCAGATGCTCTCGCCTTCTTTTACACCGCATTACGTTTACCGTATAAAAATGATGAAAAACTTAAATGCCGCTTTAGTTAGAAAAACTGGTGTGCAATGTGTATTTCAGAATCTCATTTCTACTATAAAAATTGACAAACGATTATAATAAAATGTTTCGTTAACAATCGTCTAAATTACAAATTCGCAAATATTAAGAGTTTAACAACGTTTTCTGTGTTCTAGATTATTTTAAAATACATGTTAAACGGGTTTTATGGTCGCCTGTAAGTCTTACTCATCGCCAATTTCGCCCAAATCATTGAACGTGGATTGAATATCTTATATCTTCTCGCAGAGAAATATTCGAGTAATAATTTTCATCGACTGACAAACGACGTTTATTTGCAGGTTTTCACAATCTGAAAAGTGCTATATTGATCCCGTTTCTGCGCGCTTTGCTATAAAATCTCAAATAATCAAAGTTATATATCCATCTCCGGTGTTTTGTAAGCTGTTAAAAAGGAAGAAATAAAAAAAATATATGAAATAAAGAAAAACGAAAACATTAATTCTTTTTAAATTGAGCTGCAGATTTATTTATTGTAAGAATTAAAGAACGAAAAACAAAATAGAAAGCAAGTATATTTATAAAATAAACGTGATATATAACGAATAGCTACGAACGCAACATATATATGTATATATAAAATTTTTAAAAAAATATATATATGCTTACGTTTCTTTAAAACACTGAAGATAGATCATGCTTGTATATTTTTTTAATAAGCAATTTTTCTCTTAAGATCTAGAACATGTATCGGGGGCAATGACGCACTAATACAATTTCTGTACGTAGTAATAGTGATACAAATACTTTTTGAGAAAAAAAATTTCTCTTTACGTGTCTTATCCATTTTTTTTTTCAAATTGAGCCATGTTAAAAATTTGGCAAGAGATCTTGTTATTGAATGTACATAATTTTATATACTGACTAGGATACTTCTTCGTCACCAAAAATGAACAAAACGGTATTCGTTCATCTCATATTACGCGCACGCGATCAATATACTGCGCGTACATATCCATATATTTATCATCAGAACTTAAATTAGCATTTAACTAAACTATAGTTGCTACTAGTCTATGAGCTATCGCTCTGTAATAAATATTACAATTATTTACATTGGATTAAGTTCTTTTGCTATTCACGCTCCTTTTAAAATGCTCGGTATTGCAATTATATAATCGATTTTTACTTGACTAAACACAAGCCCTAAAGGAAAGTCCTCGAAAAGTAGTTTGCGTTAAATGCATATATTCCTGGAATGGCACGATTTTTCTTTCTGCATCAACAGCCATCAGATCGTCAACCAAAATGACAAAAAAATGCTTCACGCAAAATCTGTAATAACATCTAGATTCAGTTTTATCACACTTTTCACGTTTACTCGATAATCTTAAGTGTTACTGCTTTATATACAGACTTAGTGAATTATATGCGGATGCTAGTACAAAGTCATTTGCTGAAAATCTATCGATCCTTACAATTTTTTTAAATAGTATCAATTATAGAAAGAGATGTACCGAGTATTATCGAGACAGGCATCCGTGTGGCAATTGAAGAGGAATCGCCAATCGGATACTCGCTGGATACTTGTAATAGTATCAAGCCTTCAACCGGCTATTATTCAGGCACAAAACTATTTCTTCGATATTCGAATCCGATCATCCGATTTGAGGCGAGTACCGAATAATCGCCAGATACCCGGTATATCTCTAGTATTACAGAATATTTCGGGAAGACTGCGCTCCGCAAAAAATTCATTTTATTCCTTACGTAATACAATTAGATTCAGTTTTTCGTGACAGATCCATTTTTCCCACTGCCTTTAAAAAGAGAGTATGTCGTATTTTTTAACTAATACCGCCTGGAAATACGTTTCCAAATATTCCTCGTTCGTCAATCATATGTTGGACAATCATTTCCTTTTCGGTTCTTTTTCGTTTGCACGTAAAAACTGAAAACCCATAATGCCTGTGCTACCATCGTCTTTGTACTTAAAAAGTATACTCGCCTGAGCATTGGCAGTATCGAGCGTGGCCTATGATCAATCGAATTCTGCCAAAGAGTCTCGTAAAAATTACCAGACATTCGTGCGGTAACTAGATGCATATGTATACGTTCACACACATATAGTGTATTAAATATCTCTTACGGAAAATTCAACATAGATTCGTTCAGTTATAATGTAAAAAGTATATAAAAACCCATATAGCTCTCAATAGCTCCCTCATCTTGTTTTAGTATCTCCTTCCGAAGTCGCGATATCCGACTCCTCGGTTAAGCGTCGCACGCGAAATTAACGGCTAATTTAGAATGAACAAGCGAGCGGTATCTCTGTAAACAATATCAATACGAAGCTTTGTGTGAAGGTTTTCTTTTTGTGCATGTTCGTTCATGCAACTTTCCAGTCAGCCAACTAGCAATACAAATACATACGCCGCTGTATGGATATCAGCCTGTCCTTGGATACTTCGCGCGCGGTCTAATCAAGAACGCGGTAACAAAGAGGGAGGATAACATAGAAGGACGTACCACAATCACTGTACATGATATACAAGTACAAAATTTCGGATATATATATAAAGTATGTCTCACACAAGTTCCTAAGTTTTCTAAAACTCTCTTTTTTTCGCCCCCCTTGTTTCTCTCACTTTTATCGCAGGTCCCCAAAATCAGTTTGCCGTTTTTTTCTTTCCTTTCTTCTTTTCTTTTCTTTTTTTATAGGAACTCCGAATCGTTCTGAGCTTCTTTGAAAGACGGAAAGATTTTTTTTCTTTTTTTTTTTGTAAAACGACAAGCTTTATGCTCTATGAATACTCACGATTCCATTGGTGTCACGATTAGAGTTCCGTTACAGCATACAGATTTGGATCGCTACCCTGTACCTGACTTAGCGTAGCCACCGTCGGCTTCTCCTGCCTCCCCTGCGCTCGATTGTATGTACCATACATATTCGGTACCGTGTTGTTTTGTGGGGCAGCGCCGTTAAACTGACTGCGCGAGAAATTCCTGTCCAAAGTTCTGACCTGATCTTGCATTTGATCCTGAATGCGAATATTAGGCGCCTTGTTCCGCACCAACGATCGAAACTGATTCATGTTAGTCTGCGAGCGTGACTCGAATTCCCACGTAGGCTGCTGACTTGCGGGATTCGGAAGTGGAAGCGGTCGATTTTGATTCCACGCCGGAGTCGGCCCCCTCTTCAGATTGGCCAAGTTCTTCGGATCCAACGTTTGAGTCTTTCGCGAATCCTGGAAAGTAGCAAGATGCGCGGGCCCGTGCGAATTGTGAGACAGGGTACCGGTGAAGGACGCCACGCTGGGCGTCCAAGGTGGTTCTCTACCTGTAGCATGGAACGTAATATGTAAATATGAAGGCAAACGTTATTATGTATTACGTGTGTAAAATTTTTATTAAATTTTTTAAAACATTTACCGGGCCCTGCGGGGGCGTGCCCTCAGTAAAAGTCACTAGATTCCAGCGTCTTGCACTGTTTGCTCAGAGTCGCGTACTGACCAGGTTGATCTCCGAGTCCAGAACGGTGCTCAGCTCGTCCACCCGTTGATTGCTGATTATGCTGAGACGATTTGTGATCCCCGCCTCCTCCGCTCCCGTTAACACCCCCACCTCTGTAAATGGCGAGGAAGAACGAACAAAGTTGCAGCATTATCTTTGTTTTACACAATGACCGATATCGTTTCATAGCTTATCTAAACATAAATCCAAGTTTAATCATGTCTGCAAAACTGTCTATACATGTTATATTAACGTTAACAATAAACAGAATTATAAAGCGCGCTATTTTTTGTAACAATATTGTAAAAGCAATCAAAACTGTTATTTGCTAAGAACAATATTCAATCTGTTCGAAAATTATTGTGTTCCAAAAACAGATATTCAAATAATTAGAACATCGAATGTAAAATGAAGAATGACACAATTATTTATGTGATGCAATTTACATTTTATCATGTATATCCGTCAAAAAGCATATACTAATATAAATATCGATAAAAACTTTTATTTTTGATGAGACTAAAGAACTATGTATGATAAAGCCACATCCAAAGGAGACGCTAATATTTTAGCGCGGTAATTGATCCTTTAGTTTAGGTAGCTAAACAAATTAAAGAGAATAAACTGAAAATCTCATGCACAAACTTTAACATGCTCTCGTGCAGTTGACGTGCTCGAGCAGTCGCAGTAGCGTAGGACGGTGGGGGCGGCGTTAGCAAGAGAGGCTGCTTAATCGTATTATGAGTGCCAAGAGCATTCGAATTAAGCGTAGGGGCTGTAGGCGGGTACGACCCTTGGCCTCGAAGGGTCCTTGCTGCTATCGCTTGTGACGCCGCCGATGGTGGTAAGTAAGGATCTTGCTCGTCGACCTGATGATAATCCCTTCTGGAACAAACGCACCATCAGTTATATTTTATTTAATTCAGCGGGTACTCTTGATTTCAGAAAAGAAGACCAGCACGATCTCATAGTCTCATCTATTTAGGTATCACAATTAATAAAATATAAAAAAAATATAAAAACGATTAAATTTTTTTCTTTTCCCTAAATAATTTTCATAAATATTATATTCCTTACCGTTTTCGTATATATATCCACGTATGAGAATCCACCCAAACTAGTACAGTGAACAAGAGACCTGCAGCTAAGCTGGCTATTAGCATAAAACTCAATCCATATCTAGAACACATTACAAAAAGAAACGTTATTATAAATAAAATAAGTACAATAGTAGATTTTTGAAATTTAAACAATAAGTGATAAATATCAAAAACCAATATGTTAATGATGTGCAAGGTAATTTGTATAATATTTTTTTATAATGTATTATATCAGCCAGATTTTTTATAACAAATTATTTAGATTTTTAAAATGCTTATTAACATGCTTATTAACATGTTTTAACGTATAATTATATTGCAAGACTGACAAATAATCGGCGCGTAATTTGTTAGGTTGGAGAAAATATATCACAAAAAAATATTATATTATGCACCATATAATGATGGCTTTCATTTGGCATTTATCTCTCATTTCCTTTTATTATTATTATTATAAGTTTTATATATTTTAAAATTATTTTAAGATAAGATGAAAAAGATAAGATTTTAAGATAAAAAAGAAAAATCATTTAAATCTTTTAAATTATAATAATAATATTGCTTACAATCCCAAGTGACATAAACTCTTCGCGGCGTGAACGTATTGCTTGTGCAGTGGTTTGCAATCGAGTAACGTAGCTAAGCCAGACACGAGTCTGTCCACGGTATTAACGTCTGTACTCAAACTGCTGAGCTTTGGCTGGAGTTGTTGGTCTTTGAACAGCTCTAACGCTAATCGTGTGACGGAGTTCAAGTTAACCCTCATGTTGCCCACTGCGCGCTGCGCATCCCGCAATCTTTGTGTGAACGGATTGCTGCGCGTGTTCTCGCAATGCGTGTAGTAAGAGAGTACTTCGGAGGCTAAAGTCGACGGTACAGCTCTACTTAAATAACCGTCGGGCGATACACAGAGATCACCTAGAGCTACAGAAGTGGCCAAGTATAGGGACGCCATGAGCCAAGAGACGATCACCGCAAACAAGCCGAACACAGAAAATCTGAAAGAATATTCTATCAGAATGACTCATTATGATTTCATCCGATGATTATAAATATATTTGCGGCGATTTAGCGGCTTCCTCCGCGCAAGCTTTGTTAAGATTTTACATGATTCTGTTTAAGTGCGGGAAATAACGCAGACAAAGATACAAAATGCTAATGAGGAACACCTCTAAAAGGTCTCTATATCCAGTTTCAAGGGAACGTACGTTATGAGGACACATCTGGAGTGCCGTGCAACACCGACTACCAGAACTACGCAGAGGACAAGTAGAGCGCTCAAGACCGCCATGGTGATAGGCCATCGCAACTGTTCGATCTTCTCGCCCATCCCGATGGCGCCAGCGAGACTAATACCGCTCAAGGGCTTTCGTATCTCGAAACTCCGATTTACAGCGATGCTCGTGTTTTGCTTCATGCCGTTAAGTGCCGCTAGCAACCAACCTAACACAGTTTTATTGCTAACCGGTGCATCGAATTCATCTCCGAGGGCAGTTAATTGCGGTTGCACTTTTTTCTTTAGAGTTGCTTCTATAGTGTCAGTCTGCAAGAAAAGTAAAGCGTTAATACTTATAAAATAGATATAGCCACTATTGAAATTACTTAAATTGTATCATATCAAGATATGGATCAATTTACTTTTATCAATAAAAGTATTCATTTATTTCTGTATATAACGTAATATTAATGCATTTTTTTTTTTTATAAAAGTGAAGTATGAATATTAATGGTCTCTATATACTCAAAAAAATACTGCATATTGAAATTAAAAAATTCCTTTTTTTAAAAAAAGACATGAGAGTATCTATCTCGTATATTGCTATGCAACACCTTTATTTTCAAAATCCATATGATTGTCGGAATATTTTTCATTATATTATAAATAATAAATAAAATTCTTTTATTATGAACATTACAATAAATATGATATTAACGCATGGTGAAAAGTAGGCGAAAAATACCTGATTTCTGACGCCCATGAGGATCCCATCAACATTTTTAGCAGCTGCTACGAGTTGTACCAACCCATTGTGCACGTCATCGTTGCCATAAAGGCCAACAGCGACTGCTCCACTGCAGAGCAATGCCAGAATGGCCAGTGAACACTTCAGCGCGGTTATCGACTTCTTGGGGCGCGGCCTCCGGTCACAGCATCTTGTTACCAAATAAACTAGCAGTACCAGCAGTGTTAAGATCAACCAGGCTGCAGGAATACTTCCTAATATTCCGAGGCTCTGTAAACATTAAATTCGATCATAGCACTCCTCCTTATTTTATGCACTCATATAAAAGAGGTCTAACTAAGGATCCAAAAAGATTTACTAATTTTTAAATATAAAATCCATTAAATTTTTATAATATTAAATTTAATATTAAATTTTTTCTATTCAAGTTTTACATCAATCGCTTGTTCTCTGTTTAGTAAAACAAATTCCAGAAAATAAATATGAAATTCAATTGAGGAAGAAGCTCTCTTGTCTTTCGAAGATTCGAAGTGCACGCTGTGCAAATAAATAACATCGAAAAATTGGTATCGTGCCAAAATTTCCTTCGCTTCCTTCCACTTCCTACTCTGGAAACTGCAGTATTGTCATCGTCGTCAAGGACCGCATTGTAACGCTATTCCAGGCGCATTTACGTATTTACTTCGTGTACGAGCCGCACTTATGGCCGTCTCGTAACTTCGCTCTTCCTGCCTCCCCCGAGGCTTTTATCTCATTTCTCGGCGGTCTTAGCTCCGCCGATCCACCCCGCCGAGCCGCATGCATGACGAAAGCGAAATGCTTGGCGGGACGAAGTTTTGCACCCGCCTCCTTATCCGTAGGTGGTTATATCCCAAGAGTCCGCCCGACTTCGACGGCTGAGGAAGATGAGCGAAAAAGGGAGAAGACGAAGGTGCGGGAACGCAAGGGGAGGTACGCGAAAGGCGCGAGGAAGGACGGGATGTACCCATGGTCCGACGTGATTCCCGAGGACGTTGAAGCCAACTCCCGCGAGTTGCCCCCGGCGCATTATGCGAAAACCTTTGTGCATTGTTTAAGCTTTCTCAGGTATTGTGCTTTCCAGTTATACACACGGGCTCGGATTCTTGCGCGCTCGCGATATCCACCTGCCCCCCCCTTTTTTTTCTTCGCCGGCTTCTCGTTCTTCTTTCTTCTCTTTTTTTGTCCTCTTCTTTTTTCCATCGTGTTCCTCGCTACCTTCTGCGGACACGTGAATCGTTTCTTTCTTTATTTTCTCCTCTCTCCTCTCTTCTCGGTTTTGCGCTCCGCGTGAGAGGACGAGTCGGCATGCGAATTTTTGCTCCCGTCATCCTTTCGCTTCCAGATGTTCGCTTCCCGAGTTCTTATCCTCTCGTCAGTATACGTATTGACCCGCCACGACTTCGACCAACACTTGCGTCTCGATATCGCAAATCTACTGCCAACCGAAGCCGATAATCCAGAGTGCCATCGATGCCCGTGGTTGCTAAGAGGAAGTGAATATCCCGCGGGATAACCGCTGGGGAATTCTGATGTACGAGCTCGAGGCATTAACAGAACTTAGCGGACATCACTCGAAAGGGGTGCTCAATTAACGCGTGCTAATGCCCATGTGATATTTAACTTTAAGCGACCAAAGAAAAAAAAATTTGCAAAAAAAAGAACCCATTCGAAAAATCAAAAAGTGAGAATTCGGCGTGAGGAGGGACAATTCGATGATACCTCGCGGGAAGAGATTTTGTATCTCAAATATTTATATCAGCCGTACACATACTTGGGAAAATACGTCGTCCAGTACGGATTGGAAATAAGCCGGATGTGCTGATATCCTCCTGAGAGCGTTTCGACGGCCATCAGTATACACGTCGGGTATGAATAAAATATTTATCTTGAAATCGCCACCCCCCCCCCCCGAGGGCCCGTATGAAATCTGGATTTTCTGTCCAATTCGCTTATCGATCCGCGCGAGGCTTAAAGGCTCCGGTCGCGCGCGCGGCCGATTAATCGGCCGCGTACTTTGTTTTTAAATCAAACGAGATCGATTTGCACCCGCTGCGGGGACGAGTCGCCCGATGCCCGAAAACATGCTCGGCGGAGTGACGCCGCTAATGGAGGGGCCAAGGAAGTCTCGGGCGTTGACGGACGTCGGTACCGCGTGCGGCGAACCTACCTCCAAATAGATTTCGGAGTGGGGATTGAACGTATTATTGACCGAATGTAAAGAGACATTCAGATGCGGCAGACTGTGGAAGATCCTCGCGTACTGTGGTACCGTGTACTGTTCCGGAAGCTGTTGACCTCCCGCCATTATGGAGAACCCTTAACTGGAGGATCCTGTCGAAGCGTCTCTCCTACTCGTCAAGACATGCTATGCGCGAACGCTGCAATGAAAAGAAAATAACAAATTAGTCAGATTGAACCTCGGGAATTAATCGAAGGCGAGGCGCGGGGGCGGAAGATAGGGGAGGGGACAGTATTCGATGTTACGTCGTCAAGCGTTACAAATGTAGAATCCAGATATTTCGCGGCGGCTAATTGAAGGAGCATCTGGACCAGTGCGATATTTCCAAGTTTCGCATTTGCATAATTGAATAATAATTCCCTCACGATGTCGCTCTCCCTTTTCCTAGTCTTCTTCCCCCCCCCCCTCTCCGTCCCGCGGCTTTACATCTTTTATCCGAATTTATTCGAGACTTTAATATATAACGCGAGTTATTAAAACTTTATATTATTATATTATTAATTACGTAAAGTTTCGATTATCCGCTATATACGAACGCAGATTTTCAGTTACGACTCGAGTTATTTCATGTGCACTTTCCAATAAGGAAACGAAACGAAATAAAATACTAGACTTAAATCAGAGTGTATATTCAAACATAAAAAAAATTTCTCGAGAATTCAGACTTTCAAGGCAATTTGTTAAAAAATTCTAGGTAAAATGAAAGTAGTTTATCAAATATATTTTATAAATAAATATATATTTTTACTGTGCAAAGTCCTTAATATTTTCCATTTATAAAAGTTTATAAATCATAAAATCAAATTAAGAATCATTCGAGTTTCAAATAAATTAAATTTGAAAAATTTTGAAAGAAACTAATAAGGACTCTAAAAAATAAATATTTTACACTGCATAAAATTTTTAAACTTTACAAAACTTTCAAAAACCTACAAACAAAAATTATATTAACCGATACAATTGAAATTTATAAAACTAAAATAAATATCCATCTTCATTAAATAAAATTCAACAGCTAATACAAAATATCGTGTGTGAATAATTTTCAATGAAGTTCTGATTTTTTAAAGCTTAAAAAATTTTAACTCTCTGAGAGAATTTTAGATTTTCCAGGTAGTGAACATCTTGTAAATGTCATACAATAAACTTAATATAATAATAAGTAAACTTTCTGCGAAACCGTTCTGTGCAAAAATGTTCTGTTATATCATCGTTTAATAAATATACCAACGGCTCTCTCGATCGCAATCAATTCTGGCGAAACGGAATAAGCTCCACATTTCACTATGAATACTCGTTTTCATCCATCGTGCATATATAAATGTCGATCGTTCTATCGCATTCATTTGAATTGCATTTGGATTAGAGCTGTACCAAATAATGGGGATATCAATTTTCAGAGGATCGCCGATACTTTTCCGCGGATAAACTAAAAAATCGAATTAAAATCGCGCGAGTGAGAATGGAATCGGAATTTAATTTCTTTCGTGAGTCGTTCCTCACGAGCCGCCCCGTTCGCGAGAGAATGACTCGCAATTAAATGTCAAATTCTCTAAAAAGGCTCATTTTAGAGAGTTTTAACACAATTATTATTTCATTAGCATATTGCGCTGGTTTCGTTCCTCTCTTCCGCTGTGAGTCACAATTCAATCTTGGCTAAATATACCGACGTCACTCAGTGTCGCAAAACGTTTTACCGTAGTGATTCAACTCTTCCGTAGTGAAATCAACGCGCGCTTAATTAATGAAGTCTGTGCTAGCCGGCTCTCCATCTCTCTCGCTTCATTGACATCGCTAAAGCACGCCGAAAGGATTCCCGGGGTGCTTTTAGCTATCAAATCGACTGAAATAGGTTTAATGGGTCGGCCCGAATCGCCGGCATTATATTGTCGTTAAACTTTAAAACTTCAATGTTTAT